CCGTGACACAGTAGTGTCAGCCCTGGCTCCCTCCATGGACCGTGACACAGTAGTGTCAGCCCTGGCTCCCTCCATGGACCGTGACACAGTAGTGTAAGCCAACTGAACCCTTTCCTCTCCAGGTTGCATTCGGTCATGTCTTGATCGCAGCAACAGGGTGCAAACAAACCTGGGGGCCAGCAGATTCAGCATCTGGTGTATTCCCAACCCCAGCTTTTAGGACTCCTCTGGCACCATCACCTACTGAGTGGCCTCACAGGAAACCCTTCTGTCTCTCTTAGAAAAATCATTCACTCAAAGCTCTAGAGTCTGGCTCCACTATGATCAAAGACTCTGTGGAATACTCCCATCTTGGTGTATCCCCGTTGATCAGGGACTCTCATTTCTACTCTTCTTTCTGTTTGTGCTTGAGTGTAACTGGGACTCACCGACACCCCAGAGATGAAATGGTTAGGAAGACACTATTACCCTACACTTGGCTTTCAGCTGGAGAGAGTTCAGACCAAGAGAACTCCAGCTGAGCTAGCCACACCCTGTACTATGCCTAGGTTCCCACTGTGTGAGATGTTCTGAGTGCCCGACATTAGGGGTGGTACCTCTCCCATGAGCCTCACCACTGGGCACTCCCTCAGTACATCACCCACAAAAGCTCGTCAGTGAAAAATCAGTCCCCAGGTGTGTGAACTCTGTCTATGCAATTCTCCTGGCACACAGGGCCTTCCTCTACCTGTTCATGTGAACAACTTAACAGTGCGACATCCTACATGGGTAAGACCTCAGCCAAAGCTGTGACGCTGTATTTATTCTCTTCTATGAATCAGAAATACTGTTTATTACAAATGATACTTTCAAATGTAGGTGCCCAAGAGTAGTGTGCTTCACCACTTCCACTAACAAATGGCATCGTCAGCCTTTTTAAAATCTCCAACATCAGGGGAGCAGTGGTGGCGCACGCCTTTAATCCCAACACTCGGGAGGCAGGGGATAGCAGATCTCTGTGAGTTGGAAGCCAGCCTGGTCTACAGAGTGAGTTCCAGGACAGCCAGAGCTACACAGAGAAACCCTGTCTCAAAAACAAAACAAAACAAAAAATTCACATCACCCATAACCATGCTTTGAGATCACTTAACTGTGTTCTCATTCTGCTCACACGACAGACTCAGCCTGTTTACAACTGACTTTTAAGAAAAATATAACATCAATCTCACTCTGCTCTGGACACCCATGAACACAGTAACTGAACCCACAGCTCGATCATGTCCACGATTTCTCCTTTGTGACCCAGAACAATGTATGTGTATGTGAGATATGATAAGTACACTTCAGACCATTATTTGAAAGTCACACTCACCTCCCCCTATAAAAATGAGAGCCAAGCCAGGCAGTGGTGGTACATGCCTTTAATTCTAACTGGGAGGCAGAGGCAGGAGGATTTCTATGCATTTGAGGCCAACCTGGTCTACAAAGCAAGTTCAGAACAGCCATGGTTATACAGAGAAACCCTGTCTTGAAAAACAAACAAACAAAAAAGAAAGCCAACACGTGGGCATAAGTTGAGACTATCTGCTTGTGGCTTTGTGTGCTGTTCTGAGACTCCTGTAAAAGATTAAGACAGGACAGACAGAAAGATGGTCATAGGAAGGCAAAGGCAGAGAGACTGGAATGATGCACAAACCAAGGAAAGCCCTGGCCACTGGAAGCTGGAACAGGAAGAGAGTACTGTCGCCTGCACACTGGGAGGTGTGGTCCTATCAACATTTCTTTAAGCTTTGAGCTGGGCACCTTTCTGCATATTAAGCAACCTGGTTTGCAGGAGTTGCTGAAGCCCCAGGGAATGTATACACCCATTAATATGTGCAAAGCACGTAAACCAAGGACTGCTTAGGTGAGGATTATGTAAATTATCTCCTTCCACATTTGTTTAACAAACAGTACCAGGAGAGTTGATTAATCTTGCAAGTCAGAAACCTGGCGATTGTTTATCTTTGGTGACCACCTCCTTCTCCACTATGACACCCAGTGGGCCTGTGACTTGGTTAGCCCACCTCTCCTGACTTCGTCCTGCAAGGGCTCTGCTGTTACCTTTCCAGCTGACAGTGTTCCCTCAGGCTGTATCCTTCCCACCTATGTTTACCTCTACCCTTAAGCCGTCTTACCACACCACCAAAACTTCCAGCAAGAATTCCAATTAATCAGAACCGTTTGTTCCTTCTCTTGGACTCTAGGAAATGCTCAGTCTGCATCCACTCCCCATTTGCCCCTCATGAGCTCTGAATGAGCCTGGCCTGGCTCTCATTTTTATAGGGGGAGGTGAGTGTGACTTTCAAATAATGGTCTTAAGTGTACTTATCATATCTCACATACTGTTCCCACCTCCCCCTCCCCACCATGAGAACTTATCATGTGTGGTAACAACCAACACCTTAAAACTCACTTCCGGAAGTCTGCGAGTAGCTTGAGCATGTCGTCATTTGAAAGCTTATTGCTGTCTTGCCGATAGATGGCAGAAAATCTGGCATTTTTGTCCAGGTTTCCAGATGTATCCTTGAACAATGTCCTGAAACAGTGAAACAACATTCAAGACACAGTTTTACAAAGAGCAAAATAAAGAGAATTCTGGTCTCTGCACAAAGACTAATCTTAATTCCACTGGTGGAGGCCAACAGAAATCTCATTATCCCCAAATGCAGCAAGTATTAATGAGGACAACCACAACTAACTCAATTACACAGAGAACAGTTCCAGCCAAAAGCTTGTACTGAGAAAACAACACACACATTCACACGGGAAAGAAGGAGGGGACAGGGATAGAGCCACTGTGGGACTCCCCAGATGCACAGTCCCAGCTGGAGGCACACGGCCAGGGCCTGGACTCTCCCCCAACAAACCTCTCCCGTCCACCGGGCTGGGTCCAGCAGCTGTTCTCTGGCCCACATCTTTCTCCTCTGTGCCATTGCTAAATGCATTTTCAGATCTGGTGATTATTTATTCTTGATTTCATCTCTTTGAATCTTCTTGGACTCGGGATAATAAACTCAATAGGTAGGCCTACTTGTCTGTCAGTCTATTTGCCCATCGGTCCATCCCAAGTATAAAAGGCGTTCTCCCTTACCTTGCCGCCCAAGCAAACGGCATTCTGTACTGTCCTAGTCTTTGGCATGCCTGTTTGGCATTCTTCAGCACCTTCTGAGCAACCTGGAACACACCAGAACAGAGCTTTGAAATACTCCGGCACGGGGGACTTGAGACCAGAGCAGCTACCATTGTACGATCATCAAACAAGCCCTGCCCATACCACCAGATGCACACAAACGCACTTCTTACAGAAGTGACAGATAGGCCTGGCTTCAAACCCAGTACGGACTTCTTTATTTAATGTGCCCTGGCAGTGACTCTCAAGACTACAGAGTATTGTTTCCAAGATGCATATCAACCGTGCCAGTCTTTGCCAGCAGCAGGCAGGCTCCTCTGCGCCAGCCTCTTCCTCTCACAGACTTCATTTCCTTCTGACTAAGGGCTAATTGTAAGCCACTGAGTATACTCATATTTGGTATTCATGCCCAAATATCTATCTACCAGAAGTTCAAGGAAAGCACTAATGAACAATCTAAGCTTTCCCAGCTGCTAATGCGCACCAACTTGTACAGATTCCCACAATCCCAGGCAACGCCATAATTAGGTACCGGCTTAAATTAGACACTGCCCTTCATTGTTACAGTTTTGCTTTATACACAAACACTATCACTTCCTCACGATCAGTTCTGGCTTGTTCTAGGTTGGCGGAACACAATAAGCGTATAGGCTTTTGGCCAATGGCATGTGTGTAGAGTGGTTCTATCAACCACTCCGTTGCCCCACATATCCTTGTCCTGTGATGTGCTCTGTTATCAAAGTGTGACTGACTGAAGAGTCAAGAGGGGACCTGAGTGTCTTTTGTGTGTGTAGGAAGGAGCTTGGAGGTCATTTATGTTACCTGAGTGCATCCAAGCCAAACCAGTTTTAGGAACACTGCTCACACCTGAGAGCCAGTGTTTTCTTCCGAGCAGCAGAGTTAAAGGAGCCCCGGAGGCTGCCCTAACCGTTCTGGTCAGGACTGTACCCTGACAGGCCCTCCAATAATCTGCAAGCACCATCAAGTGTGAGAAACAATCAACAGAGCAAGAGACACCCATCTGAAGGTCCACAAAAGCTGCTGTGACTCTATGAGCTCTGCTTCCCCTTCCTTCACCTTAAAAATGGAGAGTGTGGGTGACACCTTAAAAATGGAGGGTGTGAGTGACAATACTCATGATCCCTTGTCACTATAAAACTCTGTGGTCCTTCCAGTCACATCTTGGTTCAAATAGATGACAAGAAACTGCCTGTACAGCCCTTTCTTTTTAGTGGGGTATGTATACCCATCCCTGAGAGATTTATACCAGGATCTAGAGGTGTGTGGTCCTTAAACAAAGACACCCAATTCTTCCTCCCCAAGAGTTGACTTTAATTATGTTTAGATTCAAGATTTTTAGTCAGGTGTCATGGTGCACACCTAATGGCAGCACTAGGAGACAGAAGCCGGAGGATCTCAAGTTTAAGGCCCGTCCCAGACACATAGTAAGACCGTCTCAAACAAATCGCTAAGGGAAAGAATGCTTGCCTAGCACACCCAAGGCCCTGGATCTCACCTAAAACAACACAAAAACTCCCTAAAAAGATTTGAACAGCAATGAGCAAGTGCATTGTGGAGTAAAACTAACGCTAAACACAAGGCTTTAGTAGCTTTGTCTTCAGTGGGAATCAAACAAGGACACAAAGAGGACATGCATGAGAGCAGGGGCCGAGTGCCTGCTTCTCCTCTGAAGTCCTTCCCCGGCCTGCACAACGAAGATTTGTCCTGGGTGATGTTCTAGATGACTTGTGTACATCTTGGGAAAAAGGAAGACACAACTTTGATTGGCAGAACAAAATATCACCATACCAAGTCTATAAGAACCTTTCCAGGTATGAGATGGCTGAACCTTGTTGCCTGTTTTAATGAGATGCTGCGGCAGTGACGAGGAAGGAACACCTCCCCCAAGGGATGCTGGGAAGCAGGTAGAGAAAAAGATAGCTCATCGTGATGTGTTTGTAGTGTACCAACATGGCTGCCGAATCTCAGCTCACGCACATGGCCGGCAGAAGCAGCAACGTTGATGAGCATACGCACCTTGGAAGCATGTTCTGTCAGTGCAGCCTTATCTGAAGTCACCACTGACTCATCAAAATAAAAGACTAGAAAGACTTCTCATCTAATATTTTGCAGACTCGGCTTGGAACAATAAGATGTCTTCTTCTCTCCAGGAAACAAACTTGACAACTTTTATCAGCCAAAAAAGCTTAGTGTTTGAGGATGCCTGATGAATGGGCTTTTACTAGATGGGAGCTAAACTCAAATATCTCACATGCTGTTTGGGATATGTAGTGTCCTCAGCACTGTCTGCTCCACGGCCTGTTTGATCTGTACCCTGGCCCTGTGAGGAAGGCAGGCTGGGCAACATTATCCTATGCCCACACGTGGGACATTGGGGCCTGCTGTGGGATGTTCTGTATGTCCTGTGGGAGCCCATTCTCAGGTTCTTTGTGGCGTTACCCAGCAGGTCCGTATGGAGGATGATTGGGACCATGGGCCTGAGTGCAGGTGTTTGAGATGGTCTGCACTTGGCTGTGCTGGGGGATGGTCTGTATGTCAAGTTGCTCTGATTGGTTAATAAATAAAACCTGATCGGCCGTGGCTAGGCAGGATAAAAGGACAGAAAGGCAGAAGGAGATGCTGCAGCCGCCGCAATGACCAGAGAGGCTGCAGCCGCCGCCGTGACCAGCAGCATGTGAAGACGCCAGTAAGCCACCAGCCACATGGCAAGGTATAGATGTATGGAAATGGATCAATTTAAGATAAAAGCACAGTTAGCAAGATAAGGACAGTTGGCAAGAGGCCTGCCACGGCCATACGGTTTGAAAGCAATATAAGTGTCTGTGTTTACTTGGTTGGGTCTGAGCGGCTGTGGGACTGGCGGGTGACAGAGGTTTGTCCTGACAGTGGGCAAGGCGAAAAAATCAAGCTACAGGGGCCTCTAGAGGTGAGGTATATCAGAAGTACCCTGGCTACCTTGGCCCTCTGCGTCCAGGCCTCCTTAATCCATGAACGTGTTCTTTAACACCATCCTATACATCCTGGTAGCTGTGCCTAGGATCTTTAGGCGGCCACAAGGATGAAGTTTTGGAATCTCTGAGTCAATTTGGTAAACCTCTGAGCTCTGGAATGTCTGCTCATACTAGATCGGCTGACCAGTCCTTAATACACCGAGGCCCTCCCTCAAATGACCAGTTACAATATCAAACCAAACTCAAACCCCTGAAACCAGTTAAAACTGGCGGAGACAGGAGCACTCAACCGCTTACTCTAACCTAAAGAAAGGTGTGTGAATGCCACAGTCAATTGTCCTTGGCCACTCCAGCCGTGGGAGAGTAAGAAAAAAAATTAAAGACTTGTAGGTTTCCATTTTCTAAGTTTTTAGACTCTGTAACTTCTGACCTACAAACCAGAACCCAAGAGGCACACCAGCAAACACAATAAACACTGGTTGACTACAGTATGTGTGCTTTAAAGACGACACAGAGTTTAGTATCAAGTGGATAATTCCCTTGAAAACTAAATTTTAAGATGTCATTAAGAATTGGACACACAGCCAGCCAGTGGTCATGCACACCTTTAATCCCAGCACTCGGGAGGCAGAGGCCGGCAGATCTCTGTGAGTTCAAGAACAGCCTGGTCTACAGAGCGAGTTCCAGGACAGCCAGGGCTACACAGAGAAACCCTCTCTTGGGAAAAAAAGAGAAAGAATTGGACACAGGAGGAAGAATTTAGATAGTGACAGAACATACGCTTGGCATGTGCCAGCACCCGGGCTCAGCTCTGTCTGTGACAAACCAGGTACATGAAATTAATGGAGAATACACACACATAACTGTGTTTTTCATGCGTGGTATGCATCATGTCTGTATGCATGTCTGCATGTGTGTGTAGAGATTGCGTGCATGTTTAAGGAGGACTGAGGTTGATGTCAGGCATCTTCACCGATGGCTGCCACTTTGTGAAGAGCTAGCTCTCACTTGAACCCAGAGCCCATTGATTCTGGCCACACGAGCTAGCCAGTTTGCCTTGGAGACGCTGTCTCTGCCTCTCGAGTGCTGTGACCACAGATGGGACATTAATGTGGGTCCTGGGGAGTGGAACTCCAGTCCTCAGCCGACATGGCAAGTGCCTCATGGACGGGGCCACCCCCACCCCCCACCCCTCACCCCCGATCCGTCCATGCACTTCGGACTGTCAACAAGGGCGGTTTACACGTTAGCATAAAAGTCATCTCTTCGGCTGTTACTCTGTAATAATCATGAAGCACGAAAGCCGTTCATACCTTAGACGAGTCTGAGCTTTTCATATATGGCTCAGCACAATGCGTGATGCTTCCTTGGAGGACCTTCTCAATTCTGGCCACGAGAAATATATCTGGATGAGGACACGTGACTGAAAATATTCCCTGGGGAGACAAATGGCTCTCTTCAGTCAGTAGAATCCCAGATGACTGAAAGACACCCCTTGACCACCAAAGGAGCAAAGGACAGTGAGACAGCCCAGCCAGTGAGGAGACTGGCGCCAAACATCTCAGGTGCTCCTCAGTCCACCAGCTGCTCCAAAAGTCTCTTGGTGGAGAAAGCAAGCAGGAAAAGGCTCAAGGAAATGAATGAGAGCCCCAGACCACCCCTCCCTCGGTTTACCTTCACTGTGTAATTACATACGCCGCCCTACAATTAACGATCTAAACTGCCCCACTGGTGCGTGACAGGGTCTCACTGGAGCAGTTTTTAACATGTTGAATAGCATGTGCGAAGAGAAGGCTGAGTGGGGTGAACGCTCCCCACCTGCTTCGGATACTGCATGGCTGCGGCATGAAGGGCATCCTGGAAGGCAGGTGGGCTCTGGCCGCCGTTCATCAGAGCTGGGGATGTGGGAGCCAGCATCTGCCGCACTGAGAAATGATTCAGGTCCACGTGGAAGTCAGCGGAAATCTTCCGGTTGTATTTTATGTCAAACAGGGACAGGGTGACAAAGAAAGGCTCGACCTGAACAGTAACATCAACATAACACCATCATCAGCGAGACAGTCCAGACAGCTGCGGGGAAACGCTGCTCTGCAAGGAGAGCGAGCAGCCCCGCTCGTGACGTCTCCTTGAGTGATTACTAGACTTTTGTTCCTTGTCACGCGGAGTTAGGCGGTGAAGCATATTAAGAACTGTTACAACCCCTTCGTGAGCCGCACTAGCTAATGCACACTCTCCAGCTGATCTCCTTGGAGCACCCAACATGAAATCCTGAACATGCAGTTTAAATCTGCCTTCTTACCCTTGCCCACAAACCCGCCCCCAGCCCATCCACACCCCAGTGTGAACCCCGCCCCTCTATGGGTGGAGTCTCCACATCCAGGCTACAGTATAAAGGGAAACCTGTGACACCAGAAATTGATCAACATTTAAAAAGGAAAACATTTAGTCTTCAAAAATTATTTTGAAACTTGTGGCCAATTTTGTTAGAATTTAAATGAAAAAACCCAGATTGATCAAGCTGTCAATCTTCTCAGCAGCCACCCAGGGAAGAAGAATGGAGGAGAGAAGAGGAAAAATGCTATGCCTTTTTAAGCCAGCGTGGAGGTCAGATACATGGTGGACAAGCAGCCATGTGATAGAGAGGGGGCTTTTGAGAAAGGGGTAGGAAAGCCCAAAGGATTGGACAAAGCACTCAGGTTCTGTCCAGCATGTGAAAGAAAAACATTAAAAAGGTGTGTGTGTGGAAGTCACACCTTTCTAAACTTTGGCAAGGTGGACAGATTCAGCTGAACCTCATGGATGCTTGGCTTATGTAGGGACTGTGCTGGGAGGTGAGAATTCTGGGAAGGAAAAGTACAGTATTACTAAAGGGCAAATAATCCCACCTCTCTCTTTAGTATGGCTTCAGGTGAGCCTGCCTTCCTCAGCTGGTCCCTCAGCTGACCCACTCGGCTGGAGTATCAGGTCACCCAGGCTAGAGTCTGCGCCCGTGACCAGGGGGACCTTATTGCAACTCTTCACTACATTCTCCCCTCCAAAGACCAAGTGCTGGGGACAGGAGCAGAGTCTGGTCCCTAATGGTTTCCTGCATGTTTTAGGATGGCTTTTTTAAAAAACCTGTGTTTTTCAAAAGGAAAATTACATTTGTGGTGGGTCCTTCCTCGTTTTCAGCGACACAGCATTGCAGATTGAAAGACAAATCATTGCACTTGACAAGGATCCTTTTCCCAAACTTTTCTTCAAATGGCTTCACTTCTGGCTCAGCGGAGGAGAAGTCAAGTTTCTTTAAAATGAAAATGTGGATATATAAACACATAGTGTTCCCATTAGAAATCCCATCCTGCGTGTTCTCACATAAAACTGCCTAAAACATGGAAAAGCTATATACACTCATCCATAATAGTGCTACGCAACGCTGTGAAGTCACATATTTAATAGACATGTGCTGATGTCCTAACAGTCACGTAAGTGATGATATGTCTGCTTGATGGATAACTATGCAGGAATTAATGCTATAAACAATCTAAACACCCATTAACATGTGTAAGGACACATAAAATACATTATATATGTATATATACATACATACACACATATGTGTATACATACAGACATGTACACTCCATAATAAGAAGGAAATTCCGGGCTGGACAGGGTGGCACATTTGTAAACCCAGAACCAGGGAGGCAGAGGCGGGCAGATCTTGGTGAGTTTGAGGTTAGTCTGGTCTACATAGCAAGTTTCAGGCCAGTCAGGGATATATAGTCAGAAGTGGTCTTTAAAAAAAAAAAAAACAAACAGGAAATTCTGAATCAATGAAATGGCCCAGAAGGCAAAGTATGTGCCTATCTCCCCGACCGCCTGAGTGTGAGCCGAGAACTCATGGTGGACAGAGGACCTAGTCCTGAAGCTGTGCTCTGGCCCCACACGGAGCTGAGGTTCCAGAGCACATGCACTGTCCCAACAAATAATAGCAATCAATCATAACGGAAAGCCATGGATGGAGCTTGGAAACATGTAAGTAAAAGAATACACAAAAGACAAATTCTGTACCATTCCACATTGATGAGTCGTTACTCATAAAGACTAAAAGTGGAACCGAGGTCACGGGGAGCTTAGGGATCAAGAACCGTTATTTAAAGAGAGTTTCAGTTTGTAAAGATGAAAACATTAAAATATTCTGGAGACGGATGGTGTCATGGCTCCATAGAGAATATATTTATTAGTTTTTAAAAAATTTTTACTTTTTAAAGTTTGAATTATTTATTTTCAGATGGCTCAAATGTACGGTTTGCATGCATGTTACCACAGTAAACAGAGTGTGTAAACAGGAGGTCTGTGAAGAAACTTAGAAAATGGTTATTATTAAAGCTAGTGGGAGAGTCTCTTAAAAGGAAGAGCTAAGTCTATTAAAAGGACCACAAATGAGGGGGGAGGCATTAGGGGAAATGTAGCAGAACCTTGTCCCTTCTCGGCAGCTCTAAGCTACACTCAATGCCACGGGCCCTGAAGGTCTTTGTCACACCGTGTTTGGACTTTGCTGGGACACAGATGTGGGTTGTACACACTCCCGGTTTTCTCTCGGGGATTAAAGCTAGCTGAGAAGTATCATTGCCTCCCAGGTGTCTACAGTGCTGTGTGCCACACTCTAATGGTTAAGGTGTACCTTATATGATTAGCGTGGACCTGAAGATTCAGGCTGGTGCCTTCTGGGAATCTGGCTTAACACTGCTCTCAATATTCAATAGTACACTGAATATTAAACATGCATGAATTTTATATTTTAAATATTAAATTAGCTCTTACCTGGGCATCTGGGTCCAAGTAAAAAAGCTTCACTCTGCTCTCACTTTTCAGTTTGATTTCTGCTTCTCTGGTGCTCTGTGTACAAAACAATTTATTTGTGAACAAAATCCTTTGTCCCCACCCCTCAGAGGTATTAGAATGTGTCTGAAGGCCGGCTGTGGCAGTTTAAATGAGAAGGACCCACCCCATAAGGCTCATATATTCGAATGCTTCATCCCCAGTTGGTGGAATCCTTTGGGAGGGGTAGAATTATTGAAGGAGTTGTGTCATTTGGGGTTTTGAGATTTCAAAAGCCCACACCATTCATTCCAAGCTAGTTTTTCCTCTCTCCGCCTTGAGCGTGTGGACTAAGATGTAGGCTCTCAGCGGCTGCCCCAGCCCAGGCCTGCCTACCCGCTGCTGTACACCCCACCACAGTGCCCGTGGATTCTAACCCTCTGAAACTGTAATCAACTCTTCCTCTATCATCTGTCTTGATCATGTCTTCACAACAGTGGGAAAGTAAACAAGATACAGACCCATCGGAACATGCAAGCTATTCGACAACCCTGTTTGGTCTCTGGGAGGCAGGGGCATGCCATCCAAGAGGTGTGCACTGTGGCATGGGCAGCACAGGCTGTAATGTTGTGGGAGAGACAGCATAGCACTGGAACCCCGAGAGGCTTAAAGTGGGGTACAGCTGCACTGTGAGGTCTTCAGCTGGAATCTTCCAGTATCGGCCATGGATATGAGCTGCAGACCTGGAGAACATCTGCATACAGGCAAGGATGGAGGTCTTGAAGTGGCTATGATTCCTCAGAGAGTGAGGGGTGAGTTTTAGCAGAGCACCAGGGGCTTCGAAACTAAAGGGACAGACAGACAGAAGCCACAAAAGGATACAGACACGTGGTGGCAGGATGGAGATGGAGAGGCAGGATCTGGAGGGGGCGTGTGAAAGAGGCATCTGGACATTCACAAGATCAAGTCACCTCTAACCTCCTATTTATCACTCCCATAGTGCATTATTCTTGGCAGTCATAGATATTCAACTCCTCGTTTTTACAGATAAATATGGAGTTCTGGTTATAATGTCCTCTTCTCCAGGAGTCACCTACCTCTCTGCCCTAGACAAGGGGGCAGTGACAGCCACAGTGAAGACGTTGACTGTCTTCTTTGTTGATGGCTAAGTGACATCTACTATTGTATTTCCAACCTAACCCAATGGGAAATTAAGAATCTTACTAATTTTTCAGTCATGAAGTTGTTTTAATAGGTCCTTGGCTATGACTCAAATTCTCATGACTATATTTAACCAGTGGCCTACTTGAAAATGAAATGACATTCATAACTAGCTCTGCAAGCCAACTTGCCTCCCTACCTGGCCTTTTAATTTCTAAATAAAAAGAATGCACTAGATGAAGTAGAACCCCAAACAGCAAATAAACATATGAAAACAAAAAAACAATATGAGCAACAAGCAGGAAAAGATATGTTGAAGCAGAATAAAATAGTCTTAAAAAAAAAAACCAAAAAACTTTGGGCCAGGCAGTGGTGGTGCACGCCTTTAATCCTGGCACTCAGGAGGCAGAGCCAAGTGGACCTCTGTGTTTGAGGCCAGCCTGGTCTCCAGAGCAAGCTCCAGGACAGGCACCAAAACCATACAAAGAAACCCTGTCAAAAAACAACAACAACAAAAACAAAACAAAACAAAACAAAAAACCCAAAAACCCGAACAAACCTTTGGGAACAAGGCAGAGAAATAGGAATATAAACTGTTATACTCTTTAAGGCCAAGACACTGGAAATATTTAAAACATCAGAACACAATAACCTTTGACCTAGAAATCCCAGCTTGGGGAAGTCCTCCTGAAATAAGAGCTCACAGATTCCATGTCATGATGCTTACTATACAATTTATAGAAGCTGAAAACTGAAAATCACCTAAACGTTCCTAAAAGACATGGCTGAATAAAGTATACATATCCACCAATTAACTATTACACCCTTGACTTGCGTGTGCTCCATTACAAACTTACTCTGCAGAGAGACCACCTCTTCTGCTGACCCAGAGAGACAGCTGTGAACTACGTTTAGGTGGTAGGAAAACTGTCAAAATGTCAGGCAAGTCATGAGACTCTTCTAGGAAATAATTAAAGCCTTACCCATGTATGTATACATTTTATTTGCACCCAGTTTGGTGAGAAAAATTGGAGTAAGTTGAATACTGGAGTTGTCAGGAAAGTGAGGGTGATCTTGAAGAAAAAAGATTAATTTTTTTGCATAACACTTGTAAGTAGTTTTACTTACAAGAAGCATAACGGAAAATTTTAATTAGTATTTAGTAAAGATACTTATAATATGCACTTTCATTGCCTAAGTGCCCACAAAAATATAGCTGTTAAAAAAATTATCCCAAGACCATGTAATTGAGCAGGTTTTGGGGTGGCAGGAAGCAGTCCTGTTCTGAAAACAGCTTGTGGTCGGTCAGTGCATGGTGCGGCTGTAGGAAGCTTCTTCCCAACAGCCGTTGCTCCATCCTGGCATGGCCTGTTTTCTATTTTAGGTTCAGTAGACAGAAGAATGTGAGGAAAATGGACAAGAGCAGAGAGACCCTCCCTAGAAACTGCCACTTGCACACAAGTTAAAGAAGAGGACTCAGCAAAAAACAAACACTAAACTCAGCAAACACTAAACTCAGCCACAAATGACACACCTTCCCTATGTCTCCTTCATTGTCAGTAGTTAAGGACCAAACATTCAAGAGTTTCCAGGAAAGATTGTGATGCATCTCAAGTTTATTTGAAGTGAAAAAAATCTATGGCCAATTTTATTTTATTTCAAAGGTACAGGGAAAACACTGTGTTGACTGCTGAGTCATTTACACAGAATGAGATAAAACAAATTTAGCAAAATCCCCTAAGGCTGGAATATATAATTCTTTAAAATTTTTTTATGTGTATGTGTGGTTTGCCTGTATGCATATCTGTGAACCATGTGCAGGCCTGGTACCCATGAAGGCCAGAAACGGTATCAGATCCTGTGGAACTGGAGATACAGATGGTTGTGAGCCACCATATAGGTACTAGGAATGGAAACAAAGTCCTCTGGAAGAGCAGCTGGTGCTTTTAACCACTGAGCCATCTCTCCAGCCTCTAGATTATTTATTTCTTAATTAAAGGGATACCACAACACACATTCACTGCATTATGATATTTATCCCAAAAGGACTAATATTTCACCTCAAGACATAAAGCCAGGTTAGGGCATTCTAGAATTAGGAAGCTTAGCAGTAGAATGACGTCCAAACCACAGCCAATTCCTCGGCGTAATAATGGCATAGTTTTCTGGTTTGGGACTTAGGGAAGGAAGTGTTTGTTACAGACTTGGCTTTAGAACTCTTATAAAAATGTGGCCAGGAAACCACATGGGTTCCCACAAGTCCTGTTGAACATGGCCCCCATGCCTTACTCAGTCTCAGGGAGACTACAGACTTGCAGACACCACACTGTCCTATATTCCACTATGGAAGGTTTACCTGGATAGGAAAATCTATTGACTTAGAAATAAAATGATAAAAAAATCAGTTCTAGAGTCACGTGAAACTGTTTTTCTTTCAGAATACAAGGCAACAAAGTGTGAGCTACTGTTTGCGCACACACACACACACACACACACACACACACACACACACACACCCCACACAGATGGAAAATACATTAGGAGAGAGTGTGGGGTTCTCTTCATATTACCATTACACAAGAAGGTAACACACACCCTCCACTGCCACCTAACATCAAGGCAAACAGAGGAAGGAATGCCCTGAGTTCTCAGAAGAAACCAATTTACTGGTTCATATAGGCTTTTTAAATATAAATACTTGTAAGACTGATGCTATGAATTTTGTTATATTTACAATAAAAACAGTTTGGTTCCATGCTAGACAGTAGGAGAAAAAGATTTAAGTTTTTGGGGAAATATAGCATGTCCCTAATATGAAAACAGTAAAGTTTTTCAGTACTCTAAGTACAAGCAAACACTCCAGGAACAATTGGCCCTGAAAATCCAAGTCCATAATATTCCAGAATGAAACATCGGTTATTTTGTACTAAAACAACTTCCCGTCAGACATATCCTGTTTGGCTAAGTCTCAGTCACAGTGGAAAACAAAAGCCAGAGCAACAGGATGAGTGAGGCAAATACAAGCCATGCAGAGAGAACTCGGCCAGCAAGTAACACCTCCAGCTGCCTTCTGCCCTGCCCTACTGATCAGGCATCCTCTACAATCTTCACTGTGGCTGGGCCTCCCATTAAACCTGCTTTCCTGACCTCTTCCTCCTCTGAGTAAACTCCCCTTCTCTCCCTGCATCCCTCCCACCCCATTCCACACACAATCCATCTGACTCTGTAACCATGGAAATTCATTCCTCAAAAACAGGATGTCCATTTGTTAGCGAGTTCTCATACTCCCTTGATGAGTACAAATGAGCCACATCCCAAGCTCACTAGCAGGACTAACACCCAGGCTGACCATGAAGGGACCAGGCATAGGCATCTCCACTAAGAGCCTGGCTCCTCACACATCACATCTCTGAGTAGGCCACCAGAATGTACAGGTGACTGACAGAGCCACACTTACAATAGTCCTCATGGTAGTATCCTGTGAGAAAGACAATACATCTTCCCCCTTTTCCTTTGAAAAATTACATTGGCCAGGTAGCAGGAGAAGAAAAGACTAAAATTCTTATACAACTTCATAGGGAAAAAACTGGATTTCTTGTTGGTTTTATCCTGTTACGCTTTGCTTAAGATAGAATCTTGCTATGACCCAAGCTGACCTTAAACTTGCATCCTTCCTGTCCCAGCCTCCCCAGCCAGCATGTGACACCATGCCTGGCTTAAAAATGCAGATGTTAAATAACCAACTCTGGGCTCAAATAACCTGAACTTCATCTTAGGTAACCATTCTGTTCACCGAGTAAGCCTAAAGTTCTTTCTGATTTCTAGACTGCATCAATGTGCTGCTTCAAAAAACTGAAAATCAAACAAGTTCAAGCATGTTGCTGTGGGGACCTCTGAGCACTCAGAAACAGGATACATGTATGGGAGTCAACTGATACCCAGACTTCCTAACAAGACGGGATGAGGGGTATAGCTCAGTGACAGGGTACTGGTCTACCACATGCAAGGCCCTGGGTTTCAGCAAAACACACACACACACACACACACACACACACACACACACACACACACACACACACACACACACACACACACGGGACTAGCATGAAAATAAACACAGAAGCCAAAACTCCTCCAGGCCGGGCAGAGGTTACAATGGGAAGCTCTAAAGTTAACTTTAATGGGCAGGTGCTAAAAAGACTCTGTGGAAATAGCTAAGTCCTGAAGAAAAACAGTACTCTACAACCCCAGCCAGGAAGGAGATTTATATTTGAGAAGAACCATGTCATCCAGGAAGAAAGGTCAATGCTGAATGCCAGCCTATTTGCAATCCTATACAGACACACCAAGTTTCTATTATAGTGTTTAACATGTGGTGTGTACAGTCACCATTTCACTTTATTATAATAAAAAAGGAAAGGCAATAACACAAAGACGATAGAGGGACAGTGAAGACAAAGACATCACTCTCCTCTTAAAAAGAATCATGCACAGATGCACACACAGGAGATCAGGACAAGGATATTCATTGTAGCATTGTTCAGAATAAGAAAAATGGAAATAGCCCAAGAGTTAAAGTGTTTATACAGTGCAATAAAAGTGACTGACCAGATCTGTACCCAAAACTAGGTTAAATGTGATATTATTGAACACCGGTGCAAAATAAACAAATGAACACACAAAGCACCCCCCAGGATCTTTATGGTAAATGTGTTTGTAAAAACACAAAACAAAAGGAAAGTAAAATACACCACAGTGGATGCTCAGGGGCGGTGGCAAGGAGGGGGATGGGAGCAAAGGCGGTGTTTAGAGGAACTGCCAGTGGTCACTGACGTTATGTTTAAAATACATACGCGAGTGAGGGAATATGGCGGCACAGGGCTCTGGGCAGTGGAGACACGGTGGTTTTGTTTTTTCTTGTGCTTTTCAGTAACTCTGGGGTTTTTCAAAATTACAAAATGCATGAAGAACCTGGCTTTGTAGTTGTTTTCTTATATTTTGTTTGTTTTGGGTGACCCAGGAACACATTCTATAACTTCAGCAGCTCCTCTTTAGTAAGTGACGAAATTACCACCATCCATAATCATCCTCTGGGGAACTGTGGCTATTAATGTGAATAAGATAGGGTGCCCAAATGAGCTGGCTCCTTGACACAACCTGGGTCATCTGAGAAAAAGGAGCCTTAGTGGAGACAATGCCCCCACCAGACTGGACTGTGGGCCAGCCTGTGGTACATTTTCTTGATTGGAATGGGAGGGCCCAGCTCACTTTGGACAGTGCTACCCTGGGCTGGTGGTCCTGGGTGCCATAAGAAAGAGACTGAGAAAGCCATGAGAATGCCGGTAAGCAGCACCCCTCCATGTCCTCTGCTTCAGTTCCTGCCTCCAGTTTGCTGCACTGAGTTCCTGCCCTGACTTCTTCCCTCAGTGATGGACTATGACCTAAAAGCTGTAAGCTGAAATAAACCTTTTCTTCCCCAAGCTGTTTTTGGTCATAGTGTTTTTCACAGAAATAGAAACATTAACTAAGACACCAATGAACATAATTTAAGTGAGAGGAGCCTGAATAAGAGAGAATACTAGGTATATATGGGCATGTATTTTGGTTATTTCTTCAATATTTGTGCTGACATATTAAATGCAATGGTGGCATCTTAAAAATACCAACATACTTTGTAAGGCATTTTCTGGAAAATAGACTGAAATGCTCCTAGTGTATAATAATTGCCATCCCCTCACATTCACATCAGGAAGCAGACAGAGACAATCACACCATCAGTGTTATTATTATAAGAGAGCATTGAAATGAGAAACATTTAGCATTCAGTCAAGAGTGGGAATATTAGGATGACCTCACCTTGGCAAGTTCAGGCAGGTAGCTATCCAAACCGGAACCGGAACCTTCCAGTTTGCTTTGTTCATCATCTAAATGACAAAAAAGATCTACTGAGTCATGTGTAGTTGAAGCTTCTTATTTAATATGAGCAAAGAAACCCGAATGTAGTGGTTCTCGAGTCTGAAAGAACATTCCAAACAGCTCAGGGCTTTGGAATGACACTGATGGCCAAGCCTAGCAAGGAAAGTGGTGACACTCAAGACCTTGTACAGCTAAGATTCCCCATCCTAAATTTCTCCCCCACACTAGAACGTATGTTAGCTATACGGAACATCCTTCATATTTACCTCCCCAACACTAGAACTCATGTTAGCTGTGTGTAACATCCTTCACAGCTCCACACACACACACACACTAAAACTTATGTTAGCTGTGTGCAACATCCTTCACAGCCACCTCCCTAACACTAGAACTCATGTTAGCTGTATGCAACATCCTTCATAACACTAGAACTTGTTAGCTGTGTGCAACATCCTTCACAGACACCCCCCCCCCACATACACACACACACTAGAACTTAGGTTAGCTGTGTGCAACATTCTTCACAGCCACACCCAATCAGAAGCTTTGGTTAGATCAAGGAAATAGTATTTTGGCTTTTTTCAAACTCTCAGGTAATTTGGGGAACAACCTGAGTTGTTCACTTATGGGCTTGAAGTACAATATGAACATACATCAAAAACACAGCTGATTCCCTGTAATTTAGAGTCAGGTTACTGTCCATCTTTATCTTGAAAATCTCAGAAGGTAATACCAACAACAGCAGTAACTTTCTTTAAAGACAGATTCCGTGCCAATGGCTAGAGCCACACTTTTAAGCTTACTCATTCCATCGGTAATTTTCTTTTCAATTATCCCCCCCCCACACACACACACAATTTTTATTTTCTCTTAAAGACAGGCTGTCATGTAGCCCAGGCTAGACTTGAACTTACTAGTAGTCAAGGATGACCTTAAACTTCTGATCCTCCTGCCTTGATCTCCTAAATGTTAGGATTACAGGTGTGTACTACCACACAAGGTTTATGCAGTACTGGGAACCTAAGGTTTCATACATGAAAGGCAAGAACTCTACCAACCGAGCTACATCCCTAGCTCTTATTTCCATTTTCAAGTAAAAACTGAAACTCAGAAAGCATAAGCAGCTTATGCAAGGTCACATAGCTAAAAGTGATATTCTTGGGCCTCGCATCCAGGCCTGCCTCCCTACACCATGGTTGTTCACATGCCACACAAACATCATCAAAGTATTAATTCTTTTTGTTTGTTTTATTTTTTTGAGACAGGAGCTCACTATGTAGCTCCAGTTAACCTACAACTCCCTAGACAGTTGGCTGCCACCTCAAAACCTGTGTCTCTTACCTTTGTTCCCCCACAGGCTGGAATTAGAGGTAATCCTCATACCTGGCTTCAGGGAAGTAAAATCTAACACAATAAAACTCTTTGTTGACAGACTCTTTGAAAATGGCTCCCATCTCCCCATCTCTCACGGACCTACCCACCTTCATGAGCGTCCCCATTTCGCTTTTCTTGCATTGCAGCTTCAAAGTTGAGCTGGAGGATCTTGTTGAGAACCGTGACCCACTCCTCCATCTCCGCCTCACTGTCTGCTGCCAGGAGGTAACTGCTTTTGTCTTGCATCTTGAGCTCAAAAGCAAAGCGCCTGACTCTGTTGTTCTGTGATGGAAACAGGCAAAAGAGACACATTGGGAAGTAGCTCAGGATAATCTGCCCTATCTGTTAAAGGTGCCATCTTCTCAGCTCTCCGATACTACTTGAAAACTGCAAACTCCCTCCCTCTGAGCCCTCATCATAGCCCACCTTCTCCACCTTTAACCTTCCCATTTGATTAATTACCTATTTTTTTAAAACTAAAATATTTTTAGTTTATGTATATGAGTGCTTTGTCTGTGGTATCTATGTATACTATGTGTGTGGCTTGTCCCAGAGGAGGTCAGAAGAGAACACCAGATCCCCTGGAAGTGGAGTTACAGATGGTTGTGAGCCACCATATACATGATGGGAATTGAACCGGGGTCCTCTGCAAAAGCAGTACATGCTGGGACTGGAGAGGTGGCTCAGTGATTAAGAACATTTGCTGCTTTCTCTCTCTTTGTTCAATTTTAAGGTTTATTTTTATTATTTTTGATTATATTTCCATGTGTGTATGTGCATGTGAGTGCAGGTGCCCACGGAGGCCAGCGGCATCAGATCTCCTGGAGCTGGAGTCACAGACACTTATGAGCCAGTTGACATGGGTGCTGGGAACCAAACTTGTGCTCTTAACCACTGAGCCATCTTCCAGGCCTCATTACCTTTCTTCTCTATTTAATTTATGGATTACTTGTCCCCTGCAACGGCATAGAAATCCCTCAAGGAGAGAGGTTATCCATTCTCTTTATTTAATGTTACATCCATGATCTTTAAAGCAATGTCTGGCACACAGTGGGCATTTGAAAAATAGCTGAATCTATGAAATCTCACATGTAAATGTTATATTCAATTACTTAAAAAAAAAATCAAGTTGTGCTCCACCATTGCCTTTCTAAAAGCTGACTACTATCTACCAATCAGTTCTGCTTACTTCCCTGGAACTTTTCCATCATTTATTAATCCTAAAAGTATGTGGACTCTGTCTCCAGTTTGCATGTCCATTATGGGATGGAAGATAAGTGTAGACCAAGGTTAGTCCACGTCAGTGCTGCTCACATTCGAGTCCATCATTCTTTTCACAAGGGACTATTCTATGTACTGTACTATGTTTGGCAGCATCCCAGTCTCCACCCATCACATGTCAGTGGGACAGCTATGAGTCAAAAACATCTCCAGACACCGACAAATATATCCTAGAGACAAACACTCGAGGCTAACCACACTAGACAGAGATTCATCTCTGAAGAACAGTGCACACAGGCTGAAGGGGGAGGTGTCACAATCCCCCTCTGACTGCTGAGCAGGCAGACTGTCTCGACCGACACCCAACCATCTGCAGTTCAAGGATGCTGCACAGTGTAGTGCCCAGGCACAAGGTGACCGAAGGTCCATCGTTTCTGCAGCACAGTTTTTAGAAGCCTGAAGCTAACTGCTTCTTTGGGGAAGGCCATACGAACCACTGTGCACAGACTGTCTTCCATGGGCTCAGTAATTGCCACCTCGGGTCTCACTTAAATGCAAAGGTAGGAATCGAGGAGAGAAAGCTGGGAATGAAGGAGTTTTCTCTGTGTACCGGGGAATCACCTATTCCTCAAACACACAACAGTCAAGTAAAAGCACTAGGCCTTGAGTCTAAGTGATCCTTTCAGAGAGCCATTTTTTTCATCTGCAGTACAAGTCTAATGGACCGACTCCTGTGGCTTTATTTAGGACATGTTAGGGTTTAAGACTCAAGTTCTCTTTCAGGTCTACCTGGAAACTTTCCCCTTAGGCATTTCTTTTCATTCATAGCAGTAGTCAGCTATTATTTCAAATAACATCCAAAGAGGGGTGGGGCATGAGAGGGTAGGGAAAAGTGTTAGCATAGCCTATATATTTATATGAAGAGCTCCTTATGGGGGTGTGGGGGCCGACAGAGGGGTGTGGGAGGGGTGTGAGAGGGCAGAGAAGTGTTAGCGTAGCCTATATATTTATATGAAGATCTCCTAATGTGGGGGTGGGGGCCGACAGAGGGGTGTGGGAGGGGCATGAGAGAGGGTAGAAAAGTGTGTTAACATACAATATATACTTATATGTAGATCTCCTTAAGGAACACAGTATCATGAACAGTAAATACACATGATCAAAATTAAAAAGCAAACATCCCAAAGTATTATTTTTTTTCTCAAAACCATTTAAATCACAACTTTTTGTTTCTTTTTGTTGTTGTTTGAGACAGGGTCTCATGTAAGGCAGGCTGCTCTCAAACCCCCTAGGTAGCGAGGAAAGACTTGAAACTCTGGCACTTCTTGCCTCCACCTCCCAAGTGCTAGGACTTCCAGTGTATGCTACCATAGATGGGCTTAACTTACAACCTTTGATGCTCAGCTTCAAACAGGTGAGATAAAAAGGAAATTAGTCTTTTGAAGACTTATATGCAGTTCAGCAAATGAGAAATGCTATGAGCTACATATGCAAAAAGAATCTGAAGGAAGAGATGGACACTGGGGTCAGACCTCAGAGTCTGAAATGCACCCATGAGGCTAGCAGCTGGATGAGAGCTATCCAACAACAAACATCTGTGCACTGTGTTGCAGACTTGCAACAGGACATTCTTGTCAAACAAAAAGAATTACTTCTTACTTCAAAATGAGGGTGGAAAAAACACATCTAGCTTTGCTTTCAACTATGTCAGAAAATTCAGCTAAAAAAGTAACTCCTAGGTCTCTCAACTTCACATAAATGAAACTTGAGCGTGGAAATCTGACGCAGGAAGCCAATAAACTCATTAATGAATCACTCTGATACTTACTTACAATTAATCAGCATGCTTTGATATACTTTAATATACTCTGTTATTCACACTGGTAGCTTGTCGGGGAAGGTGCTGGCAGGGGATCCACCAGCTGATTGGCTGCTGGTAGGGGATCCACCAGCTGATTGGCTGCTGGTAGGGGATCCACCAGCTGATTGGCTGCTGGTAGGGGATCCACCAGCTGATTGGTTGTTGGCTGAAGATACTTTTTCAGGGACTGTGAAGTAATGCTACAGTCTTGAACTAGGGCTCAGACACATGCCCACCATTTGCGGTCTAAGGTCCTGGCCTGTGGCTTATGGATTCCCAAAAATTAAACATGCCAAGATCTAACTAAAATTCCATTGTTCTGGCTGTTTTCAAAAGCTAGCAATGCTCATCTGGCTTCATCAGCTGTAGCAGGTGCTTCCTTTACTTTAGGTACCCGGCAGCCAGTTTGTCCCCGTCCCCAGCATCCCCACCTGCGGCATTCCCCATCTCTCCTGCCACGCCCACACTTCTAACTTGGTGTGCTAATTTTCGCTTCTGACAAGGACAGAGTCATAATTACCAGAGCACTGGACAAAATAGATGAAAACACTATTCTCAAATAAGGGTAGAGTCAATGTGGCTGTGATCCCCAACAGAAGAAAGATAAATGAACCCACTGACTTTAGCATCTGGCTAAGAGACTCAAACAGGGTCTTTGTCATCTTGTCAAAATAAAGCTACTGACCAAATCTCATGAAGACAGGCAGACAGAACAAATAGGAAGTCTCTAGAATGAGATACAGGTGAAAGACATCAGGTGGACAAACACTGTAGAATCCTCAGATCCCACATCTGTCATGTCTAGTTTCTATCCGCATACCTACCTTAACAAAAAAAAGTCTGCCAATTAATAAATAAAATTCAAGACAGAGCAACCTACTAGACTTCAGAAAATGAAAGACGAGATCAGGGGCCAGGGAGGTCTCAGCAGGTAAAGGTGCTTGCCTCACAAATGTGGCGCCCTGGACTTGATCCGGAGGACCCATCTGGTGGGAAGGAGAAGTTGTTCTCCGACGGCCATGTGTGCTGTGGGATTCACCACCACCTCAACCCCTCACAACAATGAATATCTTTTTAAATTACAAAGAGGTGATCATAAAAAAACAGAAAGCAAGAACTCCAGCAGATGTCCCTAAACACAATGGTGATGAGAAGATGCTGTAATGCCTTTGATGTTCTGAGGTCAAAAAACTTCTTGCGATTTCTAAAAAATGAGCCGAGTACAACTAGAATAAAAGGTATTTGCAGATAGAGTAAATAAAAATGTATCATTTTGTATAAAGTTTCTTAGGCAGCTACTAGACTCTAGTAACTAGAGGGTGTCTCCTCCAAAATAAAAAATTTAAAAATCACAATAAAAAGGAGGAAAACAGGCTGGAGAAACAGGTCACCTGGTAGAGTGCTCTCCCAGCATGCCCGAGGCCAGGGCTCCATCCCCAGGGTGCTCAGGCGTACGAGGTGGTGCATGGCCGCCACCACAGCACGTGGGAGGTGGGGGAGGAGGATCAGAAGGTCCACTCACCCTCCACTTGTCTTGAGGCCTAGACTACACGAGGCCCTGTCTCAGGAAGGAGCAGAGAACGCGACATGGCAGGGAATGTGAAGAGAAGAAAGGGTGTCCACGACAGCAGCTCTGCAGGTGGGAAACGCCACGGCCCAGAGGGAGCAGAAAGGCGAGGGTCTAACATTCTACCTCCCTGCTGGGAGGTCCAGGACTGAGGTGCAGGGGGTGCGGGGGTGAAGCACTTCTAGCAGTACACTTCAGCCCTTCTCTGTTCAATGAGGTGAGCGTCTTCACCAGAGGATGGAGATGCAATTGGACTTTAGGTAAGAATGTAAACACCCAAACAAAAGACCTATGGTCAAACCCAAGAGCCATGTCAGCTACGTCCCTGACTTCTCCAGAGGCTTCTCTGGTGATGCTGAATCCATTTACTATCTAGTTGACAGGGGGAGTGTTAACTGGTCACAGAGTCCCTCTGTCTGAGGGCCTCAGAAGGAACGCATTCACATTCTTCATTCCGCGATTCCTCGGGCAGATTCTGAAGAATCAGGGTGTTTGTGTTTTACACACTGTGAATTGTGAAATGGAACAAGTCTCCATGTTAGACAGCAAACATCCCAGTTCGGTGGGTTTTACTACGCGGCCCAGGCTGGCCTTGAACTTAAGGTCCCCCTCTGACTCATTCTCTGTCATCATGCCCAAGTTTTAAACACAAAACCTCGCACACTGCAGGGCTCCTGCCTACTACAGTATCCTGCCATCTTCAGAATGATGAAAAGTAAGCTTTGTTTTCAGGTTAGGTATTATGTTTCTACCTAATTACACCATGTTTAGAAGCATTTCCCTGAATCTGCTCATTCTTGCATAGTATCGCTGCAGACCAGAAACCTAAATAAAAATTCTTTTCATACTCACCTGAATCACACCCATGCAGGAATCTAGGAATATGGATCCTTTGGGTTCTTTGGAGATCTTTTCATCTTTATAAAAATTTAGATTATAGGATCCATCACCGAGTTGAATCAGGTGGAAAAACCGCCTCTTAAATGACTGAAAACAAAACAAACAAACAGAGACAGTTCTTCTTTCTAAATGGACAGTGGGAACTGATAAGCCACTAGGACTCTTGAAGAATTCTGTAACCCCAGTGGGAGTCTAGCCAATGCTGCTGGTAACAGGCCTGGCTGCAGGAAGATCCCCCACCATGGTTCATGGTCTTCCTGCCTATCTGTCTTAAGAAGGTGTCACCATCATCCATGGGTCACTGTTTCTCATCCACAGAGCTTGAGATTTTACGGAACCACCCAAAGGTAGGGGAAAAGTTCCACCCTTGAGACAGAGATGCTCTCAACCGCCCGAGTTCCTCACTCATACAACAGGGCTGTCTTTTGAGCCTCGGGATTCTGGTAGTCAGCACTCCTCTGGGTTACTTCCCATCTCTGTGTTCGCCTCACCTTCCTCTCACTGTTTCTTTTCTCCTTAAGATTCACCCTGGCCTCTCCTGCATAATTTCTTAAACTACTTTTACTTTTTTAAAAAAAAAAATTTTTAACTATGTGTCTGTGTCTGTGTGTGGGTATGCATATAGAAATGCTGGTACCGGTGGAGGCCAGAGGTGTGGGATACCCCTGGAGCGGGAGTTACAGGCAGTCGTGAGCTGCCTGGTAGGGGTAGTGGGACTTGAACTCAGGTCCTTTAGAAGGAAAGCATCTTAGGAGCCTGACAGTATCCCTTTTGTGGGGAAAACCGGCACGCCTGTTCACCTTGTGCAGTATGTTCGAGCCAGAGTAGCAAGGTTTATGTGGGGAGAAGCAGGGTGACGCCCTCTTACCCTCATGGTCACGCTGATCGCACTGTTCATGTTGCCTTTGTACAGCCAGCCATGTTTGGTGAGCCCACCCTTCTGAGACCCCAGGGAAGCAGCATCCTAGGAGGGGAGGAAAATGCCACAACATCAATCCACTGCTTTACACAGATTACTTTCTGTGAGTTTCACCAATGGGAAAATCATTCCATCTGTTCACGACTACTCTACTGGGACACCAATGCCCCTAAGTCACACTGGAGTCCATTTGTAGTGAGAGAAAATGAGCCTAAACGTCCAGATATCCTGTTCTTTTAAGGTCAGGTTAGTTCTGGCCAAATTTTTACTTTTGGGAATTTAATAAGCCGCAGAAACCACATACCACTCAGTTGAACTGCCTCACCCGGTTTCATGAAAAAAAGTTTTCAAACTACACTCCTCCGTGCTTAGAGGACAAAAGAAAATTCTTGAAATGCTTCCCAGAGGCTTGGTTCAGGGGAAGGTGAATAAAGAAAAGGAAAGACAAGGCCATGCAGGAAGGCATTGTAAAATGACCGGGTGAGGGGAAGGGAGGCCGGAGGAGGCAGGAGCTAGAATAAAAGTGTGTCTTCAAGCTCAGACCTACCCAGCGAGCTCTGGGTGTGAGCTGGTGGGCACTGGGCTGGTGCCTGTCCCAGCTGCAGCCAGCACACACAGCCACGAACAGCTATAAATGTGGCCCAACACAAATCCGTTAAGCCATTTAACACTTTTTGACATTTTTTTTTCCCTGTAACTTGGCTGCACAGCATGTGGACTACACAGTGACAACATCAGCTTCCAGTGACAGAGGCTGCACACGCCGGGAGAGAGCGTAGACAGACAGAGGCAACATTGCCTGCAAATGGCCTCGGGTTTGTTGACAAAGCTGACAGCCGTGGGAAGAAGGCCTGGCTCCAGCTTTGTCCCCAACCATTCACTGTCAGTATTCGTGGTGTTCGCATTATGATCATTGGAACTGAGGAATCGTTTGCCCGCCAAGGGTTTCCGAAGCCCGGGGCACCTCTGCATGTGAACCTCCACTTGGGCCTCCCAGTCCTGTAATCAGCTCCTTTAAAAAAGACTGTGTGGCCCTGGCTGGCCTTAACTCACAGAGATCCACCTGCCTCTGCCCAGGGCCATGAATATTAACTTCTAAAGATGGTTAATGCTGTACTCAGTGTACGGCTAAGGAAAGGGGGAAGGAGTCTAAACTCACGATGGGGATTCCCTTCCTGAGCAGACAACTGTAAGGCCCCACACTCTTTCTACACTTCTCTAAGGACTCTTTTCTCCAAGAGTTAGGGAGCTTATTAAAGTCAGCCTGCGCTAAAACAGCCACTGGAGAAATAACCATTTTACTTCCACGGGCTGCCAGGGGAAGAGACCCTGTTGAAAACTGTCTAAATTCAAGGTCTAAGATCTGATCCAAATCTTTGCAAATGATCTCAGAACAAAACACAGGTCAGAGAGCATGAGGTGCTGAGCAGTCAAGATAAAGCAGGAACCTTAAGACAACCCAAAAATATATTTTAAAAAAATTCTTCCTTTGCTTCATTAAACATCCCAATTCCTGTTTGGGCGTAAGTTTGGTACGTCTCCTGAAGCCTGCACAACCAGAGACTCAAGTGAGAAGAGAGGCAGGAGAGAGCAGGAACCCCACCTCATCTTTGTCGGCCTCCTCATCGACTTCATAGACGTGAACTGGAAGTTTATCCAACTTGGCCAGTTTGCTTGAAAAACAAGAAAGAAAACTTGCTTTGTAATTGCATAATCAATAGAGTCTATGTCTCCATCCATCAGAAGAGCCAGCCCGTAACAAGCCCAACAGTGGCCCCTAAGGTAAAGAATAACACCATCTATGCCTTTGCTTTTCAATGAGACAAGGGACCCCAGTCAAAGGTCCACACAGCACCGCAGACCTGTAGACCTGTAGACATGGAGACACAGCTTGCTAGAGCTAGGAGGCCTATTAAATGGAAGAAAGTGGATTGTGTACTAAGTAGAAGACTTGGTGGGAAAAATTTAATATAAAATATGACAGAGAAAAGAATTAGTGGGTCACAGAATTTTAAGTGATTAATGATGGAGGGTGATGAAATAATTAATGATGGACAGTATTGATGACCACAGCAGCAGTAGCTGCAATCATGTGGATAGCCATGTGCTGGGCATGCTGGGTACTTTACACATGCCCTCTCACTGACTCATTTGAGCTGGTGGGGGCCGTTGTCAAACTACTAACCAGGAGGAAACTGAGGCATATAGAGAGCAAAGCGAACCCAGACGAAACCCAGAGTCCGTAATCCCAATTACAATGCTCCATTCAGCTAGAAATTCTTATTAATGCTCAATGGCAAAATCAACCAACAGTTAAAATCTACCCCATAGTAAACAAAGAATACATGTAGTCAGTTATCTTTCAACATGGGGATAGTCTGAGCAAGACAAGGAAGGTAGATTTATTGGATTAAATAGGAATCATTCCCAAATCCCAAGTGAGAATTGGGGAACTATAGAGCTAGGGAGCCCATCCATGTGGAGAAAATAACATTGGCCGGGAGTTGTGATGTTTAAAAAGAGGTAATCAGGAAGTTGGCTGAACACTCTAAGGAGTGGCTGAGCCACACACATAGGAAAAACAAACAGCGAGGTCCAGGGAGAAAAGTACAAAGTGCTCAAAATCTCACAGACGCAACAAACCCAAGAACGCGTTAATTTGGGTTCCCTAAGATTTTCAGTCGTGATAGTGACCCTGAGAACAGCCCTCTCCGTTTGCTCGGTTTCCAGCACCAATCACACTCCCCTTTGCAGCTGGGTTCGGAACGCGTTGTTTTCTAACAGCCCTCTCCACCCGCTTCCCTTGGTGACAAACCTATCTGAACACAATTGCTTTTGGTATGCTCTCAGTTAAAGTTTCAAAGCAGGCAAGGAATTGACCTGGAAAAACATTTGTTATCAGAGTTACTTTCTCAGAACAATATTTCTTTACTATAGATAGTCTTCACACGTTTCTTTTCCAAAATATTCTTTTGAAGAAACACACAGACACCTAAGATGGGTGGGTGGGGGGAGGGGGGGAGGGAGGGAGGGAGAGAGAGAGAGAGAAGAGAGAAGAGAGAAGAGAGAAGAGAGAAGAGAGAAGAGAGAGAGAAACTATTCTCATGAATTAAGCTGGAACCAACCTAGGTGTCTGTCAACAGAGGAATGGATACATAAGATGAAATTGTTTTCAGCCCTAAAAAATGAATGCAACTGGAAATAGTCATATTACAGAAATTATACCCGTCTCAGAAACACAAATACCTGCTTTCTTCCATATGTGGTGCCTAAATTTTATACAGATACATAAAAACCACAGAGGCATAGATGACATAAAAGAATGTGCCTGAGGATGTGGGGGCCAGGCAGGAATGGGGAGAGTGGTGGACAGCAGAGAACATGCTCACAGCACAGTGTATGCGTGTGAACATGTGATTATGATCCCAGGAGCGTGTGTGTGGACGTATGTCAATAAAAAGGAAGGCGTGAATATGAGAAAGTGGAAGGAGCGTGTGAAAACTGAACAGTGGGAGGTAAAGGAGGATTGAAGATGATCAGAGTGTTATATACGTGGATGAAATGTCATGATGAAACTCATTACTTCATAAAATTAATAAATGCTAACAAAAAGTGGTCAGTCTAATAAACATAAAACCATACTGCAGAACATTTCAATATAGTGGCCTTATCTTTATACACTTTAGTGAAAACTTTCTGGCCTCCAAACAGAATTTCAGAACAGGATTAATTCACCTACATGTTCTCATGCTGTCTACCCCATCAGAGTATGACAGCCAGTCTCACAATCGTCTGTTTCCACATGGCTCTGACTATGCAGATGGAGCCACACGTGTCCTCATGTGTCCATCTAACAAGTGACTCACCTCGGAAGCTGTCGAAAGTCTCCTGAGTAATCTTCATATTTATAGGTCACAAGATGCCAGTCAGAGTTGTAGGTTTTGATGCACTGTTCAGGATTTAGACAAACCAGAGAAACAAAGTCAGGTGACTTTCTGGGGAGTCAGACCCGAGAGACATATCAAAGTTCTGCCATCAATCATGGGCTGTCAAAATTCTACCTGCAGAGTCTCCCACGAGGTATAAGACTTTGAACCAGTGAAACATGACCCTTGGGAAAAATGCTGTTTCAAGTTATCAATATTAATGATCTGACAGCAGCTTTTATATGGTGACATTGAAATAGCAATTACTATTCCTGGCTTATAATCATTTGTTTTTATTTAAAAAAAAAAAAAGAGTTATGGTACTACGGCAGTTTGAAGGAGAATTGCCCCTAGAGGCTCATATATTTAAATGTTTGGTCCCCAGTTGGTCTGCTTGTAAAAGATTAGGAGGTGTGGTTTTGTTGGAGTGTGGCCTTGTTGGAGGAGGTGTGTCACTGGAGGGTATAGAATTTTGAGATTTCAAAAGCCTGCACCATTCCCAAAGCCTCTCGCTCAGGCTCATGCTTGTGAATCAAGATGGGCGTTCTCAGTGACTGCCTCCTACCATTCTCCCTGCCCACGGGTCATGGACTCTCCCCCTGAACTGTACGACCCCAATAAACTCTTCTATAAGCTACCTTGGTCGGCAATGGGAAAGTTACTAAGAAGACTGCATTTATTTATTTGTCTGTGGGGAACGTGCTCACGTAGAGGCCGGAGGGCTCTAGCAGGCCTGGACTTGGCAAACATGGTGCAGGCCGGCCTTGCCCAGCCCCCTTCCTTATAAACCACAGAGTATATCCCTAAAGCTAGCCATCAAGGCCTGTTCCTCATTTGGACATTTTCTTACGGCAGACTAATTCCACAGGCTAACTACCGAAGTCCAGCAATCAAAAGCCCCTTTGGCTCACGTAATTAACATGTGTGTGGAATAATCTTTTTGTACACTGTGAAGATGTGTCTCTCTGATTGGTTTGACAAAAAGCTGAACAGCCAATAGCTAGGCAAGCTTTGCTGGGCAGAGAGGACACTGGGAAGAAGAAGACGGAGATGCCAGGAGACACAGAGCACGCAGGATGGGCACTGCGGAGATGAGGTAATAAACCATGAGGCAGAAAGTAAGTTAATAGAAATGGGCTGATTTAAGATATAAGAGCCAGTTAGAAACAAGCCTAAGCTATCGGCTGAGCTTTCATAATGTATAAGTATCTATGTTGTTTTTTTGTGAGCTGGCGGCCCAAAGAAAAACCCATCTACAAACATGTCCAACCAAAGCATACCACGGCATCCTAGCCCACTCTAACAGAGACCTCTCCTTTTTCTCTTCTTAAAAGTTACACCTACAAGGTCATTTGCTGCTGTTTTCTGAGTCAGAAAGCAGCTACTTTAACTTTTCTTCCCTACTTAATAAAGGATCTCTCTGTGAAAACAGGTGATTGGGTGTGGTTTGTGCCTAATCCAGGGTCTGGGAGGGAGTCTCCACGGTGTGTGGTGCTGTGGGATGGTCTGTATGTCAAATTGCTCTGATTGGTCAATAAATAAAACACTGATTGGCCAGTGGCCAGGCAGGAAGTAGGTGGGACAAGGAGAGAGGAGAATTCTGGGAAGCGGAAGGCTGAGGCAGAGAGACACTGCCAGCCGCTGCCATGACAAGCAGCATGTGAAGACTCTGGTAAGCCACAAGCCATGTGGCAAGGTATAGATTAATAGAAATGAGTTAATTTAAGCTATAAGAACAGTTAGCAAGAAGCCTGCCACGGCCATACAGTTTGTAAGCAATATAAGTCTCTGTGTTTACTTGGTTGGGTCTGAGCGGCTGTGGGGCTGGTGGGTGACAAAGATTTGTCCTGACTGTGGGCCAGGCAGGAAAACTTAGCTACAGTGTGGGTCCTTTCAGAGGCTAGAGGACAACTTGCCAGAGTCAATGCTCTCCCTCCACCATATGGGTCTGGAGGGTCAAACTCAGGCCAGCATGCTTGGCAGCAGGTGCCTGTACCCGCTGACCATTAGCACATGGTTTGGAAAGAGGCCATATGTCTTAAGTGCGTGAGTCTCAAGACCCTTTCATGATGTTTACTAACAGAACTAGGGTTGTTAGTGCTGTCACTTAAATCTATCCTCGGTTTTTCTTCACGTTCCTAAGTGACAGAGTGAGGTTATGAGGAGGAAAGATGTAGTAGACTCCAACTCACATGGCATCATGGCCTTTTTACCTGTGTGTGTGTGTGTGTGTGTGTGTGTGTGTGTGTGTGTGTGTGTGTGTACTGTATGGGGCACTCACTCCGACAAGGAGGGGCAGGGTGCCCTTCATCTCCCATCTGGCATGTCAGCACCCATCTGAGGGCTGTGCAGTCTTAAGATGGACAAGGCTACACCAGTCAGATCTTCACATATGAATGAGTGGAATTTGGTAGCTGAAAGTCCAGCTTGTTAAAGTGGGCTTAGGTCATGTGAAATTCTAGATAGTTAGCTCTTGACATACACAAAACTGAGTACAGAAGAAGAGCATGTGAAAAGACGTATTTGTGCTGGGGGGGGGGGTAAATTGTGTGTGCCTAACGCTTTTGAACCAAGTCACTATTCTTGTTCTGGCTCATTTACACCCAGTGTTTTGTCTGTGTCACAGCCTCCACCCGGGCAGCTACCAACTTACAACAGTAATAACAATGGGTGCTGCTTTTTAATTTCTGTTTTTCTATGCCAGGCTTCACAGTGAGCAACTCTGCTTGAAAAGATATGAAGGGAGGGGAGTGTGGGTGTTCTAGATTACTCTTTGGAGGCAGAATAAACAGGAGAGAAAGGCCAAGGGCAGAGTCAGCCAGGGGAGTGAGCAACTTCTCTCCATTTGACCACGCAATGGTAAACATTTTTAAATGTTATTTATTCTAACAAATACTTTTTCACAATTTCCAGCAAAACTTTCACACCTGGACCTCAGATAACCACATTCAAAATCAGATTCCAAAGCCACAGAACATGGTTTGAAAAGTCATAGCCGGGCGGTGGTGGCGCACGCCTTTAATCCCAGCACTCGGGAGGCAGAGACAGGCGGATCTCTGTGAGTTTGAGGCCAGCCTGGGCTACCAAGTGAGTTCCAGGAAAGGCACAAAGCTACACAGAGAAACCCTGTCTTGAAAAACCAAAAAAAAAAAAAAAAAAAAAAAAAGTCACATGTACTCATGGGTTTTCCTACAGCTGCCCGTGGTCTGCCGGCCCGTGGAGGCAGGCCTGACTCTGTGTAGCATACTCCTATTCTCTTCATCTGGCCGTAACGGTCTCTCAAGAACTGTAGCAAAAGTTGCACACCATCGTTCTAACCAGACGTTAAACCATCCTGAGGTACAGCATATGCCCAGCAAATGAAGAGCAAGGGGGGACAAAGGCAGGGAGTGCGAATGTTGTTATGAGGGGAGCATCTGAATGCCCATGTGTTTACAACTTTAAGCAAAATAGGGAAATATAATGCCTAAATATTTAAACTTGTAAGGAACTGGGTAGTAAGGACTCAGTGGTAAAGGAACTAGCCACCAAGCCTGATGACCCCAGTTCAACCCTCCGAAGCCCACAGTGCAAGAAGAGAAATGAACTCTTGCAAGATGTATTCAGACCTCCATGTATGCATTGTGGGACGCATGTACATGTGTACACACACACACACACACACACACACACACACACACACACACTAAGCAAATGTAAAATCAAAGGAATTGCAGAAAGCATCAAGCATTCTAAACTACCCAGAGATTCACTCAACAAGTGCCGGTGCCTGTCTAACTGTAGGCACTGGCTAAATCCCAAGGCAGAGGCACCAGGTAAAGACTCCAGAAAGTCTTTGACGTAACAGATTCCCTCAGGAGTCTAATAAGAAAACTGGGTCCAAATGGGTAGGCATGTGACACAGCTTTAGCTCACCTTTCAAACTTGGGAACCTCAACAAGAATATTAAGTTAGAGTGACAGGCATATGAAGGAATTTGTTTTGTTTGCTTTTTGTTTTTGTTGTTGTTGTTTTTTACAAGTTCACTGTCCTCTAGACTAGAGGGTAGACAGCAGATGGAAAAGACGTAACACAGTTTAGTCACATGGGCTCCAGCAGCTCAGGACGGATCAGGAATTGTTTAGCCTGAAGTGATTCAAACACTTAACTGAGGGGCTGGAGAGATGGCCCAGTGGCTAAGAGCACTGGGTATTCATACAGAGGACCTGGGTTCAATTCCCAGCACCTACTCGATGGCTCACAACCATCTGTAACTTCACTTCCAGGAGAGCTGATGCCCTCTCTGGTCTCTGCTGGCACTGCAGACACACCACACACACACACACACACACACACACACACACACACACACACACACA